TCAACCACCACTCCACGTTTCAGGCTTGGTTGACTTTTTTTCGTTTTTAAAGCAATGTGGCTTGATAGTCTATTCAAGACACTCATTCAGTCTTTAGCTTGTCATCTTTGATGATGTTGCCCGTACGCAATGAATGGCAACGGTCGGCCGGCTATCCCGAGGGACGACGTGGTGACCTTTGTCTCTTGTCGCAAAAAGGAATGTGGCCCAATTGGTGCGCAATTAGTATCCCTTATATTTCGTTGACATTTCTTCCACGGTATTACACCATGGTCTCAAAGTTCAAAAGATCCTACTACCTCGTTGGTTCTGGCTCCAGTGTACCGGCCAAGCTACTATTCTCTCTTAAATCTCATCAAACATGACAACAACTCTCACGCTTCCCAAACAACCAAGGCTACTTCTCTCATCTTATTGCTACTAGTATCCACAAGTCGGCCCGGTCTCTTAGTACCCGGCTTCGCGGCGCGTGACTGTGTAGGCTGACGGATAGACTATTGCAGCCTAGCTATTAACGGTTCCAACTTTAGGGCCTACCCTGGATTTTGCTAGTCCATCTAACAGTTCGGTGTGCCACACAGACTCGGACCCTATCATCAATATCATGCCAATCGGACGCTCGGGGAACTGTACTCCCTTCCCTGCCAGGGGTAGACTATTCCAAAGAAGAAGGCAAAGGTCGAGAATACTGGCTCGGACAACTCCGGTCTGCCTGTTGTCAAGTAACTCATGGATCTAACCTAGTGAGATTATTCATCACCTACAACATTGAACGGGACAATGTGTCGAGGCAAGCGACAATGTTCGGGATACCCTGGTATGCCCCCGAGTCCATCTGCTGCGCAGGGGTCAAAGTTTTACATGCTATAACTTACAAGACTTGAACTGATTACTCTAGAAAGACTGCAAAAAGTAGTCCCGTGCGGAATAGCCTCGTCTGCGACGTATTAGTGGATCAACTTTCTCGAATGTAATCATTTCCCACCCTCGTCTTCACTGCTGTGAGGGATTGACATTTCTCGGCATCATGATGCCCATTGCACAGAAGGATACAATAGCGGCGGGCCTTGGCTAACGAAATCGTGAGACGGTCAATCGGATGCGAGTGGGTTGCCACGGTAGTGTTTTTGCTGTGGAATATGCCTCAGCACACCAGGTAGGTGCAAAAGCCTCAATTCTATAAGACATGAATGAGCCCATGGTGAACCGAGGTGCATTCTGAATTATAGGCAGCTTGTTTTGGTAGGCCATGCAGCAAATGCAACTGCGCTGAGAACCCGACTTCTAAATGGCGCTGATCTTAAATAGTACTATTATTGATCGGCTTCGGGGACTGTAACGGCTAGTGGATTGTGTTTAGATATCAATATGCGACCTCATCTTTATCCTTCAAACTGCTCGTAACGCGACGGATTTGAGAAAGTCTCTGGTGCTGCTTTGCCCATCATGGCCGTCACAATTTTGTATTCCCAAACAGCTGTGCGGATCGACAGCTGAGAGAAGCCCGCTTTTGCAGCTTTAGGCTCCGCATCGTCTGAAATCGAACGGTCCAAATGGAAGGTTTCAGGGGCGATACATCCTGGAATCGTCCAGGGCTCGGTCTGGGGGCTTTGATGCCACAACCCAGGGCGACCCCGGCATTGTGCAAGCCGTCATAAGAGAGTAAACCTCTTTCTGGCATCAACTTATGAAGCAGAAACAGAGAATCCGTAGAAATGCGTTTACGGCTGCGTGCGTATATCGACTGACTAGTGTATTGGGGAACTCAACACGCGGCATCACCCCATCCCTGGCAGCAAAATATTTCGCTTTTTTTTACGGCCGAGATTTAACATCAGGTAGTTGGACCGAGGACTTGGGAAAACCCATGTCGCAGCGCTCATAATAACATGCTTTCGCAGCGTCCCACCAATTCCGGCCTCCGCGCAATGTTCAGCATCACACTTGATCTCACATAAGAGCCCGATGAGCACGATTGCTTCGCCTCCATTCTGCTTGCTAGCATCCACGGGCCTACTCAAACTAGCGACCCTAGACATGAACCTGAACTGATGGCTAACTTTCAAGAGCATTATCAGTAATACCAACTGCGAGTGGGCTCTGCCTGGCCGGAAAGCCGATGCCAAGGGCCCCCATGATAGCGCCCGCGGTCGGAATAGCACATGGGTTTGCGATTCAATGCACTTCAGGGTGTTTGCAAGGCATCAAAATGAGATGCCGAAATCATGACTCTGAAAGGCCGAAAATGCGACATAGTCGCTGTTGCCAGGTGAAGATTTGATGCATGGTCCAACGAAGACGTTCGAGCTCAAACCTCGGTATCAAGACTCCAGAGCATCGACAAGTACCACTGGGCCAAGAAATATTTGACAGCAGGTCGTTGAAGAATCGGACAAGTCGAGACGAGAGGCGGGGGAGTTGAGCGCTGCAGGTGGCTGAACGAGGATCCAAAGCTTTCGAGCTCTGCGCTATAGTAGTCCGGATTTGCAACAAGACTGCTTGGCAACATGATAAATATAAGAGAACAAACGCTTCAGGATGGTATCGTCTCACCCAACGCAAAATGGTACTATTCCTGCATAGACGGCAGTAGAGCCTCGGTCCTAGGTTCCACCGACTGTCTGCGACGTTGACGGCAAGTGAATCCTTGGTTTGTTGTACAAAGCACTATGCTTCCAAGACGAATTGAAATCAAGCGCACTAAAGGGAGGGCTTCTCCAAAACGCAAACGATTATTTTAGCGAGGTGTATATCGCGGAGCGGAGTCCAGTACACAAGTTCTGCAACAGGGTGTAGATGTTGCCAGTTGAGTGGAGATGGGTCTAGGTCTAGCACAAAGGGTTAGAGACGAAAGTTTTAGGGTCACCGGTTCGTATCGCTCAAGATTGGTTGCCATTCCGACCAGAAAACCTTGTCTTGTTGCGTCTTGAACCAAAGTATATTCTCCAAGTGCGTCACCACATCATCCCAGCCGTTCAAGCCGAGAGATGCTTGAGCAGAGCGGGCCTCTGACGCAAACCACGCACCATCGATCGGGTCAAACGAGGATACCATTCCGATGGAGATGGCCCAGACTTTCAGCGAGTCCAGAATGCCGCCCTTTGTGGGTAAATACTGTAGCTGTCCTCTGAGCCGCTTTGCCAGCAAAGTGGCCATGTGCATGTGTGAATAATACGTGGTGCCGTGGATGATGAGCAGATATAGCACCAACGCCAGCCGAAGAGACTCGGATACGGCATGGTGGTCGTTGTTGCTCGCGTGGAGGGGTGGCTGTTGCAGGGACAGCAACTTGTGTATCACAAAGCACGTCAGATCGTGCAGCTCGGTTGTCGTGATTTTTCCTTGATGAAAAATATAGCGCAGACAAGCAAGCGCATCTCGCACGTTGGGGTCAATCTCTTCATGGCCCAGTCCGATGCTCCCTGGATCCAGGTGAGCCGACGCAAACTGCCATTGCAAACCGGACAGTATGCCGTCGCCGGCGACATGGTCGTGAATCCCAAATTGGGGCTGACAAGTAACCAGCATGGAGACCCTGCCAATAGCATTCAGCAAGATTCTCAAGAATCTGGGGACAAGAAGACGGCTCACCATAACACCATGCGAGCCGTCAGTGGACTTGTGTGTTTTACCCGGCCAATGCCGCCTCGCAGGCTGATCATTTTCTTGACCCCCTTGATGTGCATGACACTAGACTCGAAATTTCCTTTTCCGTGCTATCGTAGCAGGAGTCAGATGCGACAGGTACGAATTGCATGAGGGCTGGCTCACCTCAATCGCTGCCAATGTAACGACTGCGTTGATTGTCTCATCCTGCACCGCCGAAGATGAATGTTCAATCTTTTTTCTCAATTCGCAGACTGAGTCAACCATGAGAGCTTCCGATACAGCAAATCCCCTTTGCGCGCGTAGTTCTTCGTCAAGGGAAGCTGTTTGGAGAGAGACGTGGAAGAGAGCAGGGTCCTCGAGGGCCAAGGGCCACCACGAGACAATGAATGGATTTGTGTCGGTGTTCATGTCGAGAGGGTAATACTGAAATGCGATGCTCGACAGGACTGGACCAGTTAGCTCTCACCCACACGAGCAGAGGAAGAGGATTCACTACAGTGGCGAATAAGACGCTGGACATGGAGGCGAGGTAGCCTTGTTGGCGGGTAGGAATCAAACGGGTCGTAGGACGTGTTGGCCGGGTCAACAAGCCACACGGGCGACGCTGGACGCACTGCCAAGGATCTGGAGATATTTGGGTGTGAAGATGTCGCCAGAGTGTCGATTTCGTCGTCGCTGGGCCAAGAGGCGGTTCCCGAGGTGTCCGACGAGGTCAATGGCTGGTTGGCATAGACACACCTTGCTCTCCTTTTGATGCAGCGAGAGCATTGGGGCGTCTGAAGATCGCATCGGTGCTTTGCCTTGGCACATGCATCGCACGATCTCCGCAGGGTGGCACGCATGTTGGCGATGGCGAGGCGGTCCAAGTGTTGTCACGGCGCCTCGATTGTCGGAGGACGAAGTTGAATTGATGGGAACATTTGAAGCTATGGCATGAAGGGCGTATGGGGGCGATTTGGGTCAAGTGGGACGATGCCGGACAAGGGTCAATCGACATGGCACCTGGCACTGGTCAATTGACAGTGCTGGTCAAGTCGGTCGATCGATCAATTGATGGCATAAAATCAGCCCCAAAAGTTGGCGCTGCCGAATGCCGCCAATGTGTGCAATTGATTGACGTGATATTCGAAGAACGGCACATGGGACTGTCGACAATACGCATCAAATAGCAGCGCACTACAGAACGAGCAACTCGGCCATGGCGTCAATACATGTACGCTAGACTTGGCAACTATCGTCCCAAGCGCACCAGACTTGGCATTCAATAAAGATTGAACCGTGGCATCAAATTGATCATTGATGTCTGCGCAATGCACCATGTCCAGCTCCATGCACGCACCGTCCACACCAGGCTCTGGACAGCATCCGTGACCGCACAACCGCCGCCGACTCTAGTCTATAAAGAGCCCTCCGTTGGCACACAAGTGCTCCCCATTGATCCATCTCGCGCGCTCCTCGCAAAGAAAGGCCACGGCATAGGCAATCTCGTCGGGCGACCCGAGCCGCTTCTCGACGGGCGTCGCGGCAATGATGGGCCCCAGCACCTTCATCATGTCTTCTCCCGCCGCCAGGAAGCCCTCGGTCTCCGTCGGCCCCGGCGACACGGCGTTGACGGTGCAGCCATACTTGGGCGGCAGCTCCTTGGCCCAGACGCGCGTGAACGAGTCCACCATGCCCTTGGTGCCGGCGTAGATGGTCTGCAGCGGCGGCGATGCCCGCGCCGACGCCGACACAATGTTGACGATCCTGCCGCCGGCGCCGAGGTGAGGCAGCGCCGCCTGCGTCGCGAGAAACGTGCCGCGCGCATTCAGGTTGACCAGTTGGTCCCAATGCGCCAGCGTCTGCTCCTCGAGCGGCAAGTTGACGGCTAGGGCGGCGTTGTTGACGACAATGTCGACCCGGGAGTAGCGGGCGACGGCCGCATCCATCAGCGACGCCGGCCCTTGCACCGTGGAAATGTCGGCGCAGACGGCCATGCCCGGGGTTGCCAGGGCCGCCGCCGCATCATCTGCCTGTTCTTTGAGGCTGGGATAAGGATAGTTGATGACGACGTTGGCGCCGCGCGACGACAGCTCCTGGGCGATGGCGTAGCCGATGCCGCTGTTGGAGCCCGTCACCACGGCCACCTTGCCGGCGAGAGTCTGGGCTACTTTGTCCGCCATGATCTTTGTGTATAATGCGTATGTCAACGGTAGAGTTGAATCAAGTGCTTCAGGAATTGGTTACTATTGTAAATGGCAAACATGAAAGGAATAAACTCAGTCAGTGCTGTCATCAATCTGGTGCCGCTCTCACCCCGCCTTTGCCATCTGATGTCAGCACATGCAGTCATCCAACATTGAAGCCAACCAGACATTGAACATTAATCATCTGCCAGGTTCAAGTTGTTACACTGAATTCGCAGCTGACCTTTGTCATCATTATAAATCGGTCCTTTCTACTCCGTAGCTGTACTCCGTAGTGCAGATAGAACAGAATGATGCACGAGCGAATGACATTCAATGTTGCGACAAGTTGGACCGTCGACCCTTTCAATGTCGCCCTTGTACCACAGGCAGCGATTTCCGGTAGCATCAAGAGCACAACCTGTCTCTCCAGATGTCTTCATTTAGCGACAAGTTGAAATTTCCGAGCCCGGAAAATGCAGTTGAGACGACGGGGGACGTTGGTTTCGTCTTGCAGATGCTCAGCATGCGGTCTGCCTACACGTAAACAGACAACAAAACACAAAACAGTGCCACACGACACGACACGACGAGAGCGCGTCTGGGTGAGACATCGAGACTCACCCTAATGAGCGTCTCATACCAGCATGCTGGTATTTTCCGCAATAGGCCGAAAAGAAAATGACAAACGCCAGAGTCTCACGTCGCGACTCATCAATGCTGGATTGGGTTGGTCGGGCTGGAACCATCCGAGCCCAGAACCTGTCGCGCGCTGGGCAGTCTGCGCATCTTTCCAAGAAATAACCTCACAGTACGAATACATACGCCCATTTCAGGGACTTCACAGGGTCCCAATGTCACATTATGCAGGTCAAGACGGGACCGCCCGTTAGGCGTGAAGCCATGGTACCCTTGAGAGGTCCCTTCGAAAATTTTACGCACCAATCTTCATCTCGTATTCTGGTCCACAAACTCAAAAGTGGCGTTGGCCGCTTCATGTTTCCGTCCAGCGGAACATGAACTGGAATCCGATTCACCTCGGCAGCAGGATGGGAACGGTTGCCATTGAGCGAGTACAACACCCCGCGCCCGGGGGCACGGTTTGGCACGCGAAATGTGCTGGTATGAGATTTGTGCTAGCTTTTCTTTTTTTCTCTTTTTTTTTTTAGCTGCGGACTTCGGACCGCGCCCAGTTATGATTAGTATTTGAGACTACAACCGATTGGGGTGAGTGTCAACCAAGACATTGTGCATAGCGCCGAGTGATTAGTAGGGGCATCCGGAATCCTGGGAATGGGCCGAGACTGAAGTCGGATTATGAATTTACAACACGGAGCACACAGCAAGATCAACTACTGTTGAAACCGTCCGTCGTTCCCAGAAGCAGCCATGTAGAGGTTCAGGAACACAGAAAAACAGGGACAGGGACAGGGTCCCTTGGGCAACTGTTTCCATAACGTCTACGGAGTACAAACGGCTGCCATGGCGAGGAGAAACAGAGCTAAATGGTTATGCTCTTGGTGCCGTTTCGGCGGATCGGCGGCTAACTACGCGAGACAAAATGCTTGCAGTCGTATAGACTAGACGCGCCCGACATCGCTGCCTCACAGCATACATGGGGAAAAGTTGGCAATGCTACTCCGGAAGCTATTGCTTAATGTTGTAGTTTTTTGATAAGCAGTATAATCTGCAATAAAACTCCCCAACTTGACAACGCTTGGTAGACAATTGACCACAATCCCAGGGGCGACGGACCGCAGTAGATAAAGATGAAGATGGCCTTGAGTACCAAACATTGCTCACGAGTGTCATGGCGGGCCATGTATGGGCTGGGTAATTCGGGGACTTGCTACTAGTAGGCAGGGTATGTTTCAACCCTTTCAGATGGAATAAACACTTCACGATGCTACGGTTGCTGCCGCCGTAGGGATCCGTCCCGTCCTAGAGCAACCACGATTAATTTCGGCCAAGTCTTGGATGTTTGCATCAACGTTTCTCCCGCTTGGTCGATGTCAAGCATAACCTCTATTTTTTTTACAGTTGATGTCTTGGACTTGCTAATCACCCGGCCAAAGAAGCCTCCCTGCACTATTTCACGGGAATTTGAGACCTGCCCGCCCTGCATCGCCCGGAAGCAGTAGTATTGTCTCACCCCGCGACGACAGAACCTTCATTACACGTTTGTGTAAGATCATCCTCGAGCATGCTACCGCCACGCTAGAAGATCCGGCCAAGACGCCGCTAGTTATCGTGTCAAGGGGAATGCATCCGCTGGCGGCATCGCCCAACAGCAGAAACAGAAAACGCATAAGAATTGTTTGCTGCCCGGGTCAAGTCTACCCTTGGTCATCTCTCTTCTTTTCCTTCACCCATCACTCGTTACGATTTTTCACCACCATCGCTCGTTATTTCGTCCCTCCTTTTTTTTTCCCTTCTTGTTCAACATTCTGGTGACAAAACATGCCTACACATCGTGGCTTCTTGACAGCCTCTCTGGCGAAACTGGCACTCATTGCACCATTCTTGGCGCAGCAGGCCATTGCCGGTGATATCGAGGCCCGGACCGTCGAAGTTGTTGCCACCACGTATCTTGACCTGGGCCATTGCCAAAATGCATGCACTACCAAGAAGTGGCATGAGTGGCAGACACCAGGTCACGAATCGCCGCCATATGCTACACACACCATGCCTGCCAAAGAAGGTTGTGTGACTACATCGATATCTACAAAGCACCCCGAGTGCCAAAAATGTAGAGGAACTGTCTATGTATATGTACCAAAGACGAAGCACCATGCGAAGACTACCACGGTTACCAAGTCTGTTCACACCTCGACGCAGCACACCACTAAACCTACTACGGTCAAGACTTGGACCAGGCCCTCGTCTTCCAGCAAGCCTGTGACTGAGTCCAAGTCGTCTACCACCAAGAGAGAGCCAACAACTACAAAGAGAGAGACAACGTCTACAAAGAAGGAGTCGACTACTACAAAGAGAGAGCCAACGACTACCACAAAGAGAGAGCGAACGACTACCACAAAGAGAGAGTCGACGACCACGAAGACATGGACATGGCCTACTACAAAGAGAGAGTCGACGACCACGAAGAGAGAGTCAACGACTACGAAGAGGGAGCCTACGACTACTACGAAGAGAGAGTCAACGTCCACAAAGGCAGCGTCAACGACTACTAAGAGAGAACCAACGACCACCAGGACATGGACATGGACTACAACTAAACCACACTCTTCGACCAAGACGTCAGCTACGACGAAAGAGCCAACTTCATCTTCAACGAGGACATGGATATGGACATGGACTTCAAGCAAGCCACACTCTTCCACCAAGACGTCGACTGCGACGAAAGAGCCAACTTCTACGAAGACATGGACATGGACCACAAGCAAACCACTCTCCACTAAGACGTCGACTGCGACAAAAGAGCCAACTTCCACCAAGAGAGAGTCAACGACTACAAAGAGAGAATCAACATCTACCAAGCGTGAAACGACTACCACGAGGACATGGACATGGACAAGCAAACCACTCTCGACCAAGACGTCGACTGCGACAAAAGAGCCAACTTCCACTAAGAGAGAGCCAACGACTACAAAGCGAGAGTCAACGACTACCAAGCGAGCACCAACGTCCAGCAAGCGTGAAACGACTACCACGAGGACATGGACATGGACAAGCAAACCACTCTCGACCAAGACGTCGACTGCGACAAAAGAGCCAACTTCCACCAAGAGAGAGTCGACGACTACAAAGAGAGAATCAACGTCCACCAAGCGTGAAACGACTTCTACAAAGCGTTATCCTCGTCCCACTCCTCATCGGGAGCCGACCGTCGGTGATGCCAATGCAATGTGCGGCAATCACCAGATCCTCTCATGCTGTAATTCAAAAAATAGCGGTGGTCTCCTAAACAATGTGCTGGGCGGCCAATGCTCACCCATCAATCTTGTTGGTACGTGAAATTCCCTCCATTACATGCAACGGGTCGCACCATACTAACCCCCGCGAAGCTATCGTCCCCTTGCAAAATGCATGCACCAACCAGGTTGCGTGCTGCACAGGAAGCGATAATGTAAGTTCCCCATGACTATGTATATCAAGGCGTGACGTGTGATGCTAACCGCGACATGCAGGGTTTGCTCAACATCGCGTGCACCAATCTCCTTTTCTAAGCCTCGGCGGAGGGGTCTTGAAGCCGTCAGTCAAGTGGGCAATTTTCCTTTGCCAAGTCTAATTTATAGCCGTGATCGAGACTGTGTGAGTATGGCAGTGCACCGTTGAGGTAATGAATCAACGAGTATTGCAGTCTGGTCTGGTGCGGTAAACCCAGACCACGGTGCCAGGGCCGCCACCACAACCAGAAGAGCTGCCTGGTCGTTGTGCAACGGCAGCTTTGACGGGCCTGAACACGCAAGCACTGTGGATTCATGTAGGGTCTGGTTAATATGTTTTAGGCCAAGCTGTGTCAGGCTTGCTAGCAACTCTGGATAAACAATTTTCATGTTGCTCGGTACAGAGGTTGACATTATTTATTAATTTAATTCCATTTTTTGTCAAGTTATGCATCAATAATGCTAGTGGACTGTGGGGTATGCATGTGGGGCCGCCATGTACCGAGTGAGCCACCAGCCGAAATTCCGAGGATTGCGGGGCATAAAATCTCGACGCCTCCCTTGAACACCGAGCAATGCTCCGAGTCACCTTCAATCTTCTCCAGTTGTCGCCCAGTCAAGGGGCAAAGGGCGCTCCCCGGCCCGTGCTGCGTCCGGTGTGGCGAACCGTCCAACATTGAAGCCTATTATGCGGTCTGGTGCGTGAACAAGGCCCGCCGCTTGGCCGTATTGGGGCAATGCCAACGCAGAAACAACAAGCTCTGCTGGCGGCAAACCTGGCAGTGTATTAATTTCCCTTCATGCTTGCACATAGTTGCCGTGTTATGGCGCAAGTGGTTCCCCGTGGCTTTGCCCAGCTCCGCCAAAGCTGGGTTGCGTGTGTGATTACGCACAAGCTGAATCGCCTTGAACTGGTCAACCAGCATGGCCATCTCGAGGATTCAGTGTCGTGGTGCGAGTTGATGGACGATGAGTATATGTGTCGCGTATGTAAATCGACTACAAGTGCCCGGAATACCGCCATCATATTGACAGGATTCTACGCCAACATCATGTAGGAATTGAGTCAACTCTGGTGCAAGCCAGTGCCACTGTCGGCAGCTATTCATGGAATTCACCAGTGGATTAACCCTTGCCTGACTATTAATTCAGGTGGTTCGCCAGCTTCCCAAGTTTCAGCTAGCCCCTTAAAGCCTGATTCATGTGTTTTCTGGTCAAGGAATACTACTATTATGATATTGGGTACGTTGTCTTTGTCGGCCTCTCCTAGTCTCGGAAAGGCACCCGGTATACTGAGTCTTGGCCGTGACGCAGTCATGGATGTAGCTAAGCCTCTGAGAATTCAAAGTTGCTGGTCCTTGCTATAATATCCATAACTGACAACCGCAGCACGGTGCTGGTGCAAATCCAGGGTGGGCGATGTTCCGCTCCACCTCTGGTCTGATCATCTGATGTTGGCTTGGCCGTTGATGACTGTGCGTAGTAGTTCTTGCAAAAGGTGCTGTGGGAGAAAACATGTATTAAAGACCTGACTGCTTCGTCTGTATCAGTCGAGGAACATCTTGTCGAAGCATCCAGCTATTCGTCCTTTGCCGGCTGCCACTCGTGCGTCACTCTTTGTTTCGTTTACGTTGCTCCCCAAAAGTCCTTCTTTTTGTCAAGAGTCACCATTCTGGTCAACAAAGTCATGAAGTTGCAAACGGCTCTTTCTTTGGCGGCCCTTGGCTACGTGACAACCGGCTGCCTCCTCCCAGAGGAGCTGGAAGGTGGGAAAATCAGTCTTCGCCGGCGTCAGTCTGCGAGAACAAAAAAGTATGCGCCCATAGGAAAGGGGGATCGCTTTCAAGGCGGCAACAAGGTGCCATATGGTATTGGCTCCGACCCTGACAACTTTAAAGACGTATCCAAGTTGTCCATTCTCAGTGTCTCCGAAATCGAGTCAGCGCTCAAGGGTCTCGAGCAGGAATATCCCGAGAAAATCAATCTCAGCAAAGCAGACGACAAGACGTTTGAGGGCCGCGATATTTATTACGGAGTAGTCGGCTCCAACCAACCCCGTGTGTTTCTTACCAGTGGTGTGCATGCTCGCGAGCGTGGGGGGCCAGACAATATTATATACTTGATTTCGGATCTGCTTTGGGCGGATAAGCAAAACGCCAACCTCACCTATGACGGCAAAACGTATGTTGCTTCAGAAGTCCGCCAAGCGCTCGAAGTAGGCATCGCCATTATTCCCGCCGTCAACCCAGACGGGATCAACTACGATCAGACCCACGACGCCTGCTGGCGTAAGAACCGCAGACCTTTTGGAGACGAATTTGGCGTCGACATCAACCGCAACTTCAGAGTTTTCTGGGACTACGAGCGAATATTTCACCCCCAGGCCAGCGTCAGTATGAGCAACACGCCATCAGACGAAACTTATGTTGGGCCAAGTCCTCTCTCGGAGCCCGAGACACGGAGCATCACAAACGTATTCAAACGTGTCACTTCCCTATCATGGTATCTAGACTTGCATTCCGCTCTGGGCAAGGTTCTATATTCATGGGGCGACGATTATGCCCAGTTCAACGACCCTTCCATGAGCTTTCGCAATCAACGATACGACCGCCAACGAGGCCTCTTCCACGATGAATACAAGGAGTACATGGAGCAGGATGATTTTGACGCCCAGAAATCTGCCGCCGAGCGCATGGCCACTGCCATGAACAGCGTCGCCGGCAACAGCGCTCGCTACAAGGCTGACCAGACCATCAACTTGTACCCGGCTCTGGGCAGCACCGATGAGGCCATGGCGGGATATTACAACCAGACCTGCGGGGCGAGTCGAATCCATGCCTTGACCTTTGAGTTTGGGCAACGATCACGCAGCTGGGATTGCAACGACATATTCTACCCCGATGCGAGGCAGTACAGGGACAACATTGTCCACACCAATGTCGGTTTAATGGAGCTTCTGCTGACTGCGGCAGGAAAGGATGGTGAGAGTAAGACGTATAAATGTGAGAATGGGCAAGGCACGTCAGAAGAGCCCAAGCCCGAGCAGCAACGCCCGAACAATCCACAGGCACAATTGACACCCGAGCAGCGGGAGTGCCTCGCGAAAAGTCTGCCGGAGTACAACGCTTGCAGAGATCAGGCGTGCAGAGACAGCATCGCCCAGAAGATTAGAGATTGCGCAGAAGAGGCAACCAACGCAAAGAGCCAGCCCAAGCCCGAGCCGCCCAAGCCCGAGGAACAACCCCCGAAGAATCCAGCGGCACAATTGACACGTGAGCAGCAAGAGTGTCTCGCGAAAAGTCTGCCCGAGTACAACGCTTGTGAACCTAGAGATCAGGCGTGCAGAGATAATATCGCCCAGAGGATTAGGGATTGCGCAGAACAGGCAACGAACGCCAAGAACTCGCCTAAGCCCGAGCAACAAGGCCCGAAGAATCCACAGGCACAATTGTCACCTGAGCAGCGGGAGTGTCTCGCGAAAAGTCTGCCCGAGTACAACGCTTGTGAGCCTAGGGATCAGGCGTGCAGAGACAATATCGCCCAGAGGATTAGGGATTGCGCAGATCAGGCAATGAATGCAAAATCGGCAGGCCAGGGGCAAGAGTGCCCTCCGGGTTCGTCTTACAGTGCGTTTTTCGGCGGCTGTGCTAGTTGAGAATGAAGACAGGATATGCCTGCAGGTGGAAAGACATGGTTTGCGCCAGGGTAATACTCACAACTGTGCCGTTATCAATGGTTGCACGGAAACATTATATTATACCAGAGATTAGCCTGGCCTTTTATCCCTATTTGTAAATGTCTATCTGGGTGTGGATGGAAGAGTAATGAGACTGGATAGTTGCAAGTATACAAATAGTGTTTGTCTACTGTGATGCCGGAGTCGTACCGTTGCCATTCTTGTTGAACTTGCGATTACATATCCTTCAGTCCTTCTTTCGGGTTTTCAATACGCAATAAAAGAATCCAGATAATGTATTCCGGCCTGTTCTATCCTTACTACATCCTAATCCATCAATAGAGCCAGCTATATGACCCCTAGAGATCCAGAAGATATTTTCCTATCATTGTCAACCATCCAGATCGATAGGGCTCGAGATTATAGAAGATGAACGGGTAGCATTTGTCGCAGACAACTATGGAGAGTAACATTGAAAGCGCCGGGCGATCGTTCTATTTGCGCAAGTTGCACGCTGGTTGCCCCAAGTAGTGGAGTGTTATGTACGCTGGATGAATTGGCCCACGTTTAAGCGAAACTGAGGGCCGATAATACTGTTCATTGAGTTGGTTGTCGACTCGGGAAGCTTGGAACGGGACCTCGGGGCAATGGTCCCATTATGCCCGGTGAATTGTGCGCAGAGAGGAGCCCCATATGGTATCGAGGTTACGGAACTTGCGACAACGGAATGCAAGCTCTATGCCTCCATGCCACCAGGTAGGGAAGCAAAGCAGCGAATTAAAACTTGGGGGTGAGTCATTTGCGGCGTGGTGTCCTCTTCACATGTTGAAAATGATCAATCGCGACTTTGCTGGTTCGGCATACTATTGTCATCAGCCCTATCGGGTCGTCGGTTTAACAATTTTTAAATTGCCCTGAATCGTGTGACATTTAGTCAAGGAAGCTAGGTTTTATACCTGAATACTGATTGATGTTCCATTTTCCGCTCCGCCGCCGATCAGAATGTTTTGGGCCAGCTTGGTCAGATCAATGACAATACATGTGGCCATTCTAACCAAACGCAGAGAACGTCGTTTCTGCAACGCTCAAGAGCTCGTTACACTATTTTGCGACGATGATTGGTTTTATGGACAAGTGTGTCTCTCCGCCATATCAACACCACTGCTGCACCGACCGGGCCAAGGATCAAGGCACTCATCAGCCCGCCGACTATGATCTTCGCCTTGAAATAGCGTGCGCTGTCTTCTAATAGCTCCAATCTTACAGCCAAAGCCCACACAAAACAGGCAATGCTAATTAGCCAAAAGTCCCACTGCACAAACCAGAGTTGCCCTTGTGATACGGATGGCAATGGAGAGCCGAGCGCCAAGGGATTCCTTAGCTGACACATGTGTCCAAGGCTCCATGCTTCAGCTATCTCGGGCTTGAAGATGAAAGGAAGCACGGAAGCCGAAAATACCATGCTCAAGAAGTACCAGTACGATGCTGTGCTCCACAACAGACCGATGCCGTAGACCCGGTGCATGGCACCATTTCCCCGGCCGCCGGCTTGACGTGTCGATCCGAGAAACCGCTTGGCTAGAGGATCCAGCGCCCTTTGCACCAGGTATGTTGTGATTGGGAAAATTTCCCAAATCCTTACCATGTTGACCTTTTGGTTGATTGACAGGACAGAAGGGGCTGGTAGAGCCGCAAGAGCCCAAGGCAAAGCCATTCCGATGACGATGCTGATGGGTGTTGTGTAGAATACCTCTGGTGCAACATCATAATCGGACCCGCGCCAAGACGAGTTTCGTTCATTCAGCGACAAGGCGTAAAACAGAGGGCTCACGATTCCCAGGCCCAGGATTTGTCCTAATGACGCCATTGTTGTGAAGCTATAAGATCAGCCTAGTGTCAACGCCGAGGGCAACGTGCAACGGGATGCTTACAAGGCAGGTATGCGGTCCTTGTTCCCCTTTCGACGGCTCTCAATCATGCCCAGAATCCAGATTCCCACTGCGGAGCCGCTGAAGGGAATCATGAGTAAAGACATGTCAGCCCTCGATCCGTCGACCAGATCGTAGAAAAACACTGTGAAGCCATCCAGCAACGCGTCCAACCAGTTCCAGCCTGTCAATGTGGTGTCATATGGGGAGGACTCTGCCCCAATCTTTCGCTGCGATGCCTGGAGAAGCATTGCACTGAATAGGCCATTTGAAATCGGAAATGCGAGCAATGCAAAAATGCCGAGAACCGTGAGAGTGAAGAGAATTATTACGGGAGTAGCTCCGCGTAGAGAAGTGGGTTGTGGCGAGGCCATTTCCGACAGACTGAATGAGGGTATTTGCAAGATCTGGAGGGCAAGTCAAAATTGTACGAAAGCTCTGTTGAGGTATCAATCGCAATGCGAAGACCATCTACTATGTAGGGGTCACCAATGACCACAACTGCTGAGCTCGAAACACTTCCGGACGTCTTTGACCCCGGACCGGGGAAGATCACTCATCTAACCCGGGCGGACTTATTCCCAGCCAAGATATAAGAAGCGAGCTAGTTTCGGGAGAGAATACTTTCCCATGTGTCTCTCTAGTCGAATATGCTATGGGTAAACTTGCTTCTTTTGCCATGGCCTCGACTCGTTCACGGCCAAAGGTTTCGTTGCTTTTAGCTGTGCCTTTAAGCACTGTGCTTTTCTTGTTTGCGCTGTTTGCATTTACCGGCGTGCCTAGATTTCGAGCAGACCCGTCCTTGGGAGTGTTTTCATTGTTCAGGACTTTGGAAGTAGGAAATTGTCCCCATATTAGACAAGTCGAGATGGCTAACATGTACATATAGACGGGCACCAATATTATTGATCATAGAAAAGAAACAGCGCCTCGATGGCTGTACCATGGATTACACGCTGGTCCGGCTATGGTATGGTGTGTGGCGATTCCACTGCAGCATATTGATGGCCTTCGAATGAAGTGGCCCATCTTTCATCGCATCAACGGATATACGGCCTTGACCGTCTCTTTGATCCAGTCCATTAGCGGAGTCTTGTTCCTCATCTACGGATACGCCTACACTCACCAGAACCTACTCCATATCCATTATTTGTGCATCCGGGGTAAATGGATTCCGCCATTCCTCTGGCCAACTTTTGAAGCTGGCTTGTGGGTTTATGCGCCGATATTTGTTTTTACATTGGCGCGAACCGTCCAAACAGCCCGGTCCAGAAACTTGGCCCAGCATCGCAAATGGGCGGTACTGCATACTATTGCTGGCTATGTTATTGCCATCAACAGGCTCAACCTCACCGTGTTACTTGCCTTGGGGGATATTCTGACGTGGCTGCCTGTTCGTACCAGGGAGTTTTTATTGGGTTCTCCATCTTTCACAGAAGTCGTTGACATGGAAATAAGCGCCTTTGCAGGAGCCGCGGCTTACGCCTATGTTATAGCCGGCATTTGGGCTGTCACGCAGGTCACCCAGAGAGGTCAAACACCCAGCCGTAAAGCTGTGCTCGAAAAGGCGACGGAGTCATGAAACTAGGGTCGTTTTGTATAGTGTCCTTGGGGTTCATTAATGGCAGAGCAGCGTGATTTTGATGGCCGCAGAGCCTGGCATGAGCGCTGCATCAGACCGTCTATGCTTGGAGTATCTCGCATTACAATGCTTCATCTTGGTGCCCTACTCTTCTCTCTCCTGGTCGCATCTCTCACCACTAGTCAGGATTCTTCATGGCATGTCTGTTTTGTAGTAAATTTGAACGTCAATCTTTAAATGTCAAGTCTCCTCGAGGCAGAAAGTGGTCGTACCAACATATGTCTTCCTCTTCAACCGAAAACACAGCCAGCCGCCCTTGTAGCAAGACTAGTATGTTTCCCGAAGATGAGACCGGAGTTTCTCCCCGTACTTCCAAAGTATCCAAGGTGATGGGAGGCTAATGCAAAGCGCCGCAGCGGCCAGTACAGTATTTCCCCAGCCATATCCCAAGGCTGAGTACATTTTTGGTGCGAAAAGAGGAAACAGAAACGCAGCCAGGCTACGCGGGAGCTGTGATGCACTGATCGCCGAGCTTGTGTGCTCTCCATACACATCTATGAGGTAAGCATGAAGTGGCAATCCAGCAATCTGGCTGCCAAAGGAAGTAATCACGATTCCGAGATCGACAATTACCCAAGAAAGCCGGTACTGGGCGCTCCAGCCATAAAGACAAAGGCCAACTGGCACAAGCGATAATCCGCCAAACATGAATGGAAGGCGATGCTCTGGTTTAGGCTCTGCGCCGCCATTCTTTGAGACGGCCTTTCGGTAGTAATAATCCATCAATGGTCCACCAAGTTGGGAGCCAGCAACTTCGCCTATGGCGCAGGCAAGGTAATGTAACCCACTGATTTCGACAGATTGCCCATATTGATCTACCCATAGCTGGCCAAAGGTTGATAGGACAAGATAGAGCAGACCGTATTCAAAAGAAGATATAATGGACGTGATTTGCACTATTGGGTGCGTTGCAAGAAGCCTAAATGGTCTCGAGAGTGCCCGACGGACAGTCGTGAATCCAAGCTTCCTCGTTTCGTGTGTTTCGATGGCAGCATAATACCGGTCGTCCCCCGTGGCACGTCTAACGCGCCTTGCCTGCCGTCTCAGAATGACCGGGCCGTAGGATTCTTCATATATTGCGAAAGAAACAGCAGTCATTATGGCTTGAAATGCGGAAGTAGCCCAGAAGGACCAACGCCAATCCGAGCGTGATGCAATAAAGCCACCAACGATGGGACCTTGGATCTATGTTAGCTGCAATGCCTAGAGAATGCTTCCTATTTGCGAATGCCCCAACAAAAACACATACCTACTGCAGCTCCAAGTAAAGGTATGAGCAAGTAAGCACCGAGGGACTTGCCGCGTTGATCTGCTCGCCACAGGTCACTCAGCACACCACTGGCGAGAGCATATATGGCGCTTGCTCCAAGGCCAGCGAGGAAGCGGGCAGCAATCAATAGTCCGGCAGAGTTGGCAAAGCCACAGGCAATGTTCCAGACCAAGAACCAAATATTTGAGGCGTGCAATATCGGCTTTCGTCCGTATAGCTCAGATAGAGGCCCCATAAACAGCGGGCCTATAGCCGTGGCAAGAGGATAAATGGACATGACCATGGCGGCCGCAGCGCTGTTCATGCCGAATTCTTGAGCGATTGTAGCGAGTGCCGGTGCCATGATCGTTGACACCATGGTGCGGTTGAAGCCCGCCGTGGATAGAACATCCAATATGAGCCATTTCTTTCCATTACGCCAGTTTAGAGGATTCTTGTGGCTGTGATCCGAATCAAACGTGACAAGGAAAGGGTCACTGGGCTCCGAGGGAAACGGACGGACCTCTTTTAATGGAATATGTGAAGTCTGTGGCGGACGAGTGGTTTCGATATCATTGTCTTGGGATACGGACGCCATTCTAGCATTATGCCATGCCCGCGAGGATACTCGATGTCGAGGGGCAGAGGATGCATATTGTCAGGTTTATGAATGAAACCTCAGTACAACGTTTGACACTTGCGGCAACCTACCATCTGATAGGAGAGAAATGCCGCGGCCATTGGTTTCCTCTACACGTTTAGAGGGGCAAATGGCGGCATACGCGTTGCGGGACCCTTTAACTCCGAGCACCCTCACATAACATGAATGGCCAGCAACAGGGACGAATGATGAAAGCCTACGCTAGCACCATGACCATTCTTTCGGAAAGTGTCCGAGCAGTTGCAAAACCAGAAGAGATTGCCCTCTTGGCTGGATGGTTAGACCGCGCATGTTTTCCCGCTTCCCCTCAAGAGTGTACATGGACGATCTAAACTTGCCTTCCTTTCCCTCCCTTTTGAAGAGTCGTATGCGTCTCCACTGAAGACGAATCAACGCGTCAAAGTGTACGAATGTATACGTATTAGTGTGTGACCCCAGGAGGTAGCGGCAACGCGGACGTACTTTTGTTCGGAAACTAAGCCGATCGAGATATTGCGCAGCCATGGGGCTGTTTCTACCACGTTGGTTGTAGACCAAGGCAGTTAGTTCTAGTGTCTGTAGGGACTAGACTTGGCAGAGGGCTTCCGGTGCAACCCGTCTTGGATTCAACTCCATAAACTTCAACGCTACCGCTTTAACCCCTTGGGAGACTCTATTAGCCATTGTCCCGTGCCTAGAAGTCCAAGGTGATAGTCTGAAGTGACTACAGGTACTACGTAAACTGACCCATCGGAGTACATGGCGGCATTTCAAGCGTTGCTTTGCTTCCGTCCGTATTTGGTTACCCGGAAGTGGCTAGCGGATTAGTTGTCAACGAGCGAGTCAGTGAAAATCTGGGGTAGCCGGCACAAAGATGCACCACATCTAATGCTCGTTTGTTCAGGATTTTAAGACATGGTAAGGACTTTGACTTGGCGTGTTGCTTCTCTTGAAGCACGCGACAATCGCTACATATGTATAGCCTAATTTCGAAATAGTTTGACCCGTTCATCCAGTAGCCAAGCAGGCAATTGTTTTCCTGTCCACTGGCTTGACGTAAGCCATTGACCTAGCCTGATCAGTCTGGTCGATCCTTCAAATCGCATTGACGCCTTCCCTCCGTCGGCTCCGTAGTGTAATCACCCCCGATCGGCCGAGGCATAAGGGACGCACTTTTGTGGGGGACGGCAACCTTGCATTTTAGTTACTTGACGCGTAGTTTAGGTATAACAGTAAAAATTTCACAATTATTCTTATAAGATTTTGTTCAATGGAGAGATGTATTCTGATGTAGTGTGCTACTAAATTGCCCGACTTTTTCGTCACTTATCGCGACTAGTTGAACACGACGAGTGCTAAATCATCAATGGTTGAACTCTGGCCTATTGATATCCACATTTGACCGTAAGTTTATCTTGCGCTCGAGTCCAAGTCGACCCCAGGGAATACACAGAGTACTGAGAATCGACGGTATTAACTGCCAGGCCGTTACTAACTGTTTTAGCATGCCTTGGCCCCTTTTGTCACAGTATATCTCTGGTGCAGTACATGGTCCCTATTCTCAATCAAAGCTACAGCCGCGGCACCCGGACCAAAGACCAAAGCAAATACCCCAGATTTAACAGTACCTAGACCAAGATGGTCCGTGTGACTTGATGATCGCAATGCCATCCTATTCATGTTCCAAGCCCACACTAGGAGTGACATTGTCGAAATAACTTCATTCGCCGTCATAAAAGTAGAAGTACCGAGTGCAATGGTATCAGTCTTGGTGACAAAACCTCGCCAAATAGATGGCACGGGCCATAGAGAAGCAAGCGACAGAGAGCTGGCGATATGAGCT